ACTTGTTCGATCCCCTTTTTGTTGGTTGTTGATTAGTCTTTCTTTCTTGATTTCTTTAAGAAAAAGATAGCAGTGGGATGTAGAAAATTTCACCTTTCAACTGACCTATTCTCATTATCAGGGCCCAAAGTCTAAGATGGACCACAAATTAATACTCTTCCGACTGGCAAAAATGAACCATTTCATGTATGATTGGACACATCAAGCAAAAAAACAGGTCATATTTATTAGTTTGTATTATCGAATTCGTGTAGTGTACTGATGGAACACTCTTGAGAAGGGAGTAGATTGTCAACACATGTTCTCGGTGCCAAGAGTACTCTCTTCCATTTGACTAGAACATGTGTCTTTGGCACAGGGGTCTGTCTTCTACTCTTGTGAAAACACGTGTCATAGGCTCCGATGCCACTTGTCCTCAGCTCCGAGGTACCTCCCCTGAGCCGCATGTCCTCGACTCCAGGAGTACTTGCTGGAATTCTGGTCCCACCACGTGTCTCCTACTTCTGAAAAGGCTACCGATTGGAAGCTATTGACTGGCAGCTAGTCAGTCTTAGCTAGACTAGGGATGGTGGTGGTGCTCTGCACAATAAAATCAGAATGGCAGAGCCAACAAGACACTCAACCAAAGGGAATTAGACACATGGCATAAAGTGCAGAGTTAGGAGTGAAAAGATAAAAATGCCCCTGCTGATTTACGGCTATCGCAGGCAAACATTTAATGAACCCTCAAATAATGGAACATCTACAGTGGCTTTGGGAGCCGAGGAAGAGGAACATTAAATGATTCAGAGCCTGTGCATTTAATGTCCTTACATTGAAGAAAGAACATTAAATGCTCGACATCCTGAGCAATTAATATTGGGGGGGTCCCCCATGCAAAATAGGAGACGCACTGTCTCATTTTTGGACGTTATCTACTGTTTAGACCATCAGTAATGATGAGTCTTCGAATGCATAAATAGTACTCAAAAACACATTACAAATATACACAAATTCACCCCTCAAAAGCAATATAATATTTTTTTTTCTTTCCCTCTCTCAAAGAATTAGCTTGATTGTCGGAGATGATACGCTGAAAAACACTCCGACGCCCTTCTAACTTATTTTTCCGTGTGCCATGAGCATCTTGCGGTCCGTCGGAAATGGTTGGAGAGCCCTGAGGCAATTAATCATCGCTCCTTAGGTCTCCTCTGACCCTCTCAAGTCTTTACTTGTTATGGGAGCCACCGCCTTCTCCACCAACACGAGTTCATCATGGGGGAGAATTTGTTCCTATTTCATCTATTGTGCGAAAATCACCACGCACATGTATAAATATATTTAGTTAGGTTTGTGTTGATTTATTTATTTGACAAGTATTAAAAAAATCTCTTAATTACTTTCGAACTAGTATTTTGCCTTAGTATCATTTTGGATTGGCAAGTCTTATATTGACAATTCTTTCAGCAACTGTCATACTTGCAGTAGGGGAATACTTTTATTAATATTGGACATTGTCAACACATTTTAGAATTATGCAATAAGCAAAATACTAGCAACAACTACGACATGACTTCTTACAATCACCTCCAATGTTTTTTTCACGGAAAAAAAATCATGGTCAAATCTTGCAACTTTGAATCCTTTTTTTTCTATCAAGTTTCATCAAAGTTTATACAAGTAACTTCTTTTTCTACCCAAAAAATAAGAAGAAGAAGAAAACCTTCGTTGTCTTTGACTTTGCAGCAACTGTATAGATTTCATAGAGAAATTCTGACATTGTTTCTAAATCAAGCAATAGGCAACTGATGACTTTTTTTTTTTTTTTTTTGGTGTTTGAACTAATTTATGTGTATTTTGATTAATTTTTTTTTAATCCGATCAAAGTCAAGTCATCTACTTTAGGATTAAAGTATTCATGATGGATAAATTTGTCGTTGTTTGGTTCAAATGAGCTGCCAAAATTTAAATTCAAAATATCTAAATTTACTGATCGTCTCGGTTACTACTTGCGCCACTCACCTGGATAACTGAGTTCTTTTAATTCTATTAGAACTCTTAAAACTTATTTGTATTAGACTTGGCACCATTTCTATTGCATTCCTAGCCCAATTCTGACATTTTTTTTTGGGTAAAACAGTAGGTAACAATTTTTTTTTTTTAATAATTATATATTCTCCCCATTTACTGTAAAATTATCACAAAAAAAGACACTGCTTAAATTTTAGCATCAATTTAATCCCAGCCTCTGGGTTAAATCCTACTTTCTCACCCCAACTGTATCAGTGTCAAGAAAATACCAAAATATACAAGTGTTACAGTCTCCAATTAAAAATATTCCGACAATAATACACACACACACACACGCATATATATATATATATATATATGTATGTATAATTAAGGTAGATCCATAGGAAAATAGCAGTGTTATTAAATTTATGCATTGTGTGAGGAGGGAGACAAGGACTGGGTTGGTGGACCCTTCAAAATAATTGCAGCCGTGTAACTAAGCTACAGACCTGAAAATAACCCAGCACTGAGTAGATGTACGATGGGTGAGCTCAGGTTTTAGAATATACATTCTGCACACCTTTGTTTATTTGCTATTTACAATTATTTTGGAGTGGTTTTAGTTTTTCCTATTGCTGCCTCACATGCTTCACTCTTATCTTATTTTCTCACAGCCATTGAATAGAAGGTTTTAGAATTAAATTTTTTTTTTTATAAAAAAAATACAAAAATCGAAGAGGGAATCTGAATTGGTCGTGTTGTTACAAGTGACACTTTGTCATTGAAATGGAAGTCCGGTTGTCCAAAAAAAATTAGTAAGGTCGATTGATCAAACTCATTGATTATATATACAAGTCATGATGTCTAACAATCTTACGTGCAACTTGGTGCCCTTTCACCTCTTTGTCATTGTTTGAATATGCCATCCAATCCTTTTCCTTTTAATTTCCTACCCGTAGGCAATTTTTTTTTTTAATTGCTTCTGACTTGTGTCAATTATTTGTTCGAGTTTAACGGTCGACTGTTATGATTTAAGCTAAGTTAAAACATGATTCTAAATAAATAAGAGTGATTAGTCCTTAGAGAATATAAAAAAGAATTAAATGTGAGATTTCTGAATTATTAAAATCAGACTTAATTGCATAACTACGATTCTGGTTCAAAGGCAGTAATTACAAGAAATGGAATTCTGCAGAAACAAATAGCCTTATATATAGCAGTCCAATCAGTGAGGGATTCAGAGAAAAAGAACAAACATACAAATTGAAATAACATCGATATCACCAATATTAATATCAACTTCCTAACCAACTCCCTTGGTGCTTGGCTTGACTTGACTTGGATTCCCACAAGACCTTGATATTTCTTTTGTTTTGTTTCAAACTTGTTGAATGCATACTTAATATTCTTCATTGATCTTTTGAATAGCTTTTCGAATACACGGTAACCTTTATGCCGTCGCAGTGAGGGTTATTATCCAATAAACATTTATTCGAGTAGGATTTGATAATGCACAAAATAGACTTATATAAAATTAACAGTCGAATGAATGATACATGAGAATTAATGAAACAATTAATAAAATAATTAATGACAAAAGGTAAATGTTGGGTCAACACGCAGGTATATAGTTGTTTGGTCAAGATGACCTATTCCACTCCAAGAAGCAGCAACGGTGACCGAAGAGCCTTTATTAATAAAGTAAGGTAAGGAAGAGAGAGAGTAAATGTTAGCTCCGAGAGATGTATGGTAGATAGGAGAGAGAAATAACAATGTAAGGGTGTGTAAAAAGGTGTCTTTTCGTGTTGAAAGAGCTTACAATTTATAGGCACATAGTCTTAGTTGAGATGCTGACGTGAGAGTAAAGACATTAATTTTTCGGAGATGATAGCTCTAAAAGATAAATACAATTAAAAATTATCTTAATCTTTAAAAATGGTTATCCCGATAATTATTCATCATGTGCTCTAATCATTATTGGACTCCTCTATATTTGAACTGAACCGAATCTATGAATTAGACTTGAACCATTTTATAGTTGATTTGAACTTAATTAATTGATTGAACTTGACCCAATCAAATCTGGACTCATCAGGACTTAGTATTTATAAGTGAATTTTTCATCCGTCTATCATGGTTGAGATGGTTGATTTGCATTCATAACTTAGACTTTTGATTTGGAGAGTAAGATATTTATTAGACCATTTTTAGCTCTTATCCTTTTTTGTACATTTTTTTTTAAAAAGAGCAAAAAAATTCCTAAAAATATTCTCCAATGACCCATACTTACACCAAATGAAAAGAATTTTTTTTTAAACCTAAATTAAGGGAGACTAAACTCGTTATCCTTTTTATTAATGGTGAGATTATACTATTCTTTAAAAATTCAATGGTCATATTTATCCTCTTTTAAATTTAAGTTTGTTCTTTTTTAAAACAGTTTCTCTTCTTTTAAATTTAAATTTTTTCATCGGAGAGGTTTATATCAAATCAATTTTTTTTTTCATAATTTAGTTTAAAAAAATTATTAAAATTCGAATTCAAAATATCGGACAAGTCATTCTTATTATCACGTGATTTCCCTTTTGTTCACCCAATTAAACCTTCCACTTATGAACAATTCTTTTGGCACCTAATTTAGGTTGAGATAACATATAACTTTTTTTATTTTTTAATATTTGTCGTTTAAAATATTTGTATAGAAATTAAGGAAACTATTAAATAACTCTAATATGAGTAAAAAATAATTATACAAAATTAAAATACTCTTATTTAATACATATTAAAAAAATATATATATAAAAATACTAAACCTACACTTAATCTATTAATTAAAAAAATATATATATAAAAAATACTAAACCTACCCTTAATCTATTAATCACTTGCCGAAAAACATAGATAAGAGTTGCAATTATAAGACGTCGGTATCTTTCTCAAACAACAAAAGTAAAGGGTAGCCTGACGTGTCTTCCCATAATAATGCAAATGTACTGAAAGTAAAAGTAACGGCTCAGATTCTCTCCTTGCTTTCTGGCTCTCTTTATCTTCTCAACATCTCCCCGCTCACTCCTCCCCTCCTCCTCCTCTCTCTCTCTCTCTCCATCAAAACCTCTCTTCCTATATCGTAAAGTTTAATAGTGGAAGATAAGAGAGAAAGAGAGAAGATGTTGTTGGGAAAGAGACAACGTCCTCCAATTAAGAGAACTACAAGCATGACTGAGTTCAGTTTGGATCTCAGCAGCAACTGTGAGGCTCAGCCATCTGATCCTCACGACCCGTCCAAGAAAGGTATAGATCAACGGTTCTTAGCGGCTGCCGGCGTCTCCCCTAGAATCCATCGCCGTAATTCGGCCGATCATATCGAAACTGCTCATTTCTTGAGGGCGTGTTTCCTTTGCAAGCGCCGCTTGGTCCCCGGTCGTGACATCTACATGTACAGGTGCGTCTCCCTCTCTCTCTCTCTCTCTCTCTCTCCTCTCTCTCTCTCTCTCTCTCACGTACACAGACACACGCAGACACAAACACACAGTCACACACACACACAGCATACCTACATATACAGAAATATACGATCTTGTGTGTTTGGATGATATTATTCTAAGGAATTTTGAGGTTTGTAATATGGGTATTCCACAGAAGAAAGATTACGTGAATATAGTTTTTGGTGACCGCTAAGCCATAGTTCTTATAAAAAACATAAGGATTAATGTTTTAAATTTGCTAAACTACATGGGAGTACTTGACGGCTCTCTAAGAAACTATCAATAATTGGATATATTTTTCAGATTTTTTGGGATTTCGTTTTTAAAACTTTGATTGGTATATTTCTACTCTACATTAAAAAAGGCTCCAACTCCTTTTTTTTTTTTTTGGGTTTCATCAACATGAAACGTTGAAATTTTGCTATATATTTTCGTGAAAATCTCCGAAGTCTTTGTAATTAATGCTAGCAACTTGATTCCTTTTTTTCCAGAGGTGATAGCGCTTTTTGCAGTCTAGAGTGTCGGCAACAACAGATGAATCAAGACGAGAGAAAAGACAAGTGCTCGATGGCATCCAAGATAGAATCTGCAGCCACCACCGCCGGAGCCGAAGTCTCCGCTAAAGGCGAGACAGTCGCCGCCGTGTAGATTACAACGCTGAAATCAACATGTACCCACCTTTATGTATTTATGTGGGGTTTCAGCTATATATATGTGTGTGCTTGTATGCTGATTATGGGCAAGTTTTGAAGGTATTATTCATGGGGATCCAACCAAACTCTTCCTGAAGTCGATCTGTAACACTTCTTCCTGCTATTTTCTTTGATGTTTGTGTTCTATATATATGAGGTAGTTAGAAGTGGAAGAAAATTTGCAAATTTACAAGATCGGTTTCCGTTCAAATGAGAAAATCAATGGGTGGTGGTAATAGTTTCTGAGTGGAATGGTTATGATTTCTATGAGATTCCCATCGTCATCTTCTGATACCTCTTGTCCCATGGTTGATGCATGACAGCATATGACACCAACTAAAATAAGGCTGGCTGGCAATAAATAACACAGTGATTGATGGTTAGAATTATTGCTATACTAATAATAATAATTCACTTTTCGATCCGGCATTTTTTTCCTCTAAAAAGTTCTACTTTAAAAAAAAATTAGTTTAATTAATGAGATTTTCTTCGTTGCATATAAAATTTCACATAAAATTTTAGCGTGTCTAATGGTTTGAATTATTATTATGTATTTTTTATAACATTCATGAACAATTATTATGTCCAAAAAGTGAATTTTTTTCTTTCATTTATTACAAATCTATTCTTTAAAATTTTTTTGTAAAACGCAATAAATTTAATGAAATAATTCTAAAAGGTGAAAAGGAAGTATTTAGTTGGTGCATGGAAGAAATTACGTAAATAGAATGACATTTCATTTCAATGGCCTTTATAAAGAAATCGTCATGCAATTTAGTTTATTGAATAAAAAATGCTTTTTTCAATCTCAAATTTATCTATTTTAATCAACTTCTATCATTTTGAGTTGAATTTATTTAGTTTTATTGATGAATCGTAGGCCCTGATAATATTCAATGATTCCATAGTTTTGTGGATGAATAGTGAAGTTTAATAGAAATTGACTTAAAACTCATAATTGGAGGAGGGAATGCAAAATACCAAAAACCCAACATGGAGGAGTGCATCTGGTAAACCGGACCCACTAAAATAAATACGGTTGTCCCCACTCTTTTGCACATAGGTCCACATACATTTTGGTTGTCTGGGACCCATTAATTCACACCGCACAATTTTTTGATCTCAAATCAATGATGAGAGGTAAAAGAGAGAAATGTTATAATAACCAAATTAAAATTTAAAATTTTTATTTTAAATATATGTACACCACACATTATACTATGGAGCCCAAAAAATCAAATTTTTTTCCTTTTTACTTTGTTTAGTGTAAATACTTTTAGGAGGAAAGATTTACATTTTGATTTGGGTGACATATCGTTTTTTCAAAATTTTATCATCGTGATTGTGAATTTGCGATTTGACAGTCAAAACACCGTAAGTAGAAATTTTTAGGACACCAAACAATCGTAAATTATAAATTAACGAATAATGTTACTTAGACTTAAAATATTGATATGATTTATTAATTTAATTAATTATTTAATTAATTTAACTATAAATCCCATTATTTATTAATCATAATTGATTAAATCAATAAATTATGGTAATATTTTAAGTCTAAATAATATTTCTTTTAAGTTAATTCGTGTGTTGGGAGCCAGCTGTCACATAAGATTTGATTTCATTACGTAAAATCAGTGCAGTGCTGCACAATCAGCTTCCTAATATGGTATAGTATATATGTGGATCTCATACGAGAATGACCTAGCTTTCCTGTACTCTCTATTTCTTTCTCTACTTTTTGAACAATTTTTTTTTTTTTTAAAAGTTTAGCATACATTGTATTCTATGATTTGTAGTAATGTGTATAGTACGGTTCACATGTCAGGTACTTCATTTTAATTTTTTTTTTTGCTGGTTATTAAAATGACGAAGAGAAATAAAATCATTCTAAGACCACTCCGATAGATTTTTATTAGTGAGATTATGAGACCTTGACCGTTGCCGTTACCTTTTTCGGAAATGAACTTAGCTTGTTAATATAGCGGTCAACCACCGAGGTTCATTGTGAACTTCAAAACTCAAACTTTTACTTAAGAGTAAGAAATTCAGTTGATTCTTCGCTGAACCACCTCAATCAATGGTTACTTCAACCACCTCAATCGATGGTTACTTCATTTAATTGCCGGGGAATATACTTTAGTATATGTGTACAAAAGATCCATACATTAAGAGAGTGGAAAATTGGGCACTTGATCATTAATGCGGCTGATGAGTACATTGGGCTATATGGGATTATTACAGCAACCCTTGCAAATTGTTTTTTGGAAGAATTGGATTTGACTGAGTTTAGATAAAAAATGAAAAGAGTGATAACGGTCATTATAGTAAAATGCCTTCATATTTTTCGGAGGTGTTAACAAATAATGAGAGAGATCAAAGGTGAAGAAGATAACAACATATCATAGAAAGAGATAGTATGTATATTCAATAGCCCGATGAAACTCACATAAATACAACCACCTTCTCTATAATCTGTGCACTAAATTTTAATTTACGAATGATCTATAAAAGACGAAATTTTGTATAAAGATCCTAATTCATGATGTAACAGTCTAACCAAAATAATATCATAGTCATAATCAAACTTTGGAGAATGCATATATATATATATATATATATATTATTTCTGGGTTCCTTCCAAGACCCCTATGTACAGGTTTGGGGTGTCAACAAGTTGCACCCTATCCCCTGCCGTGGATGAGGAGACAATTGGGACAGTAATAATTAGTTAAAGAGAGTTGTACTTCATTATTACTTCATAAACTCTTATTAAACTTTTATTGAAAGTCACTTTGTCCTTAATCTATTACAATAACACAGGTCGACCATCGTGTATTAAATTACTAATAAAGTTTAAATCCCACTTGAGCAAGTGGACAAGTTACTACTTCCAAGGTTTATTATCCCAAATCAAGTCAATTGGTTATAATTTTTATTGGGTTTTTAAAAAATTATTATAATGTTCAGTAGTGGGGTTTTTTTCCTTAAAAAAAATAAATTCAGGTGTGGTGTATGTGTCATTCACTCCGAAAGATTCTTGTTTGATTGCATAGAATCAACGACAACCAATCTATGAGCTTGAGCTTGATTTAGTCATCCTTATTGTTCGTGTTCAACCTCCTATTGTTTGTGTTATTGGCTTAGTCTGATATCAAATCATCTAACCCTAACCAAATTAAGTATAGCATCAATTATTTAGGATCAAGTACACATATATTTTCTAACATGCCCCCTTATAATAGGCATTGTGTTTACTTAATATTTGCCATTAGGAGTGATCCCTATTCTTTCACTTACATATGCACCTATTGGTCTTTATTGAGCACATCTAATTTGATGTAGAACAAGAGGCGACAAAATACTTGAAACACAGACTGATCTTCGTGTCTTTAAAGTACAACGGAAGGGTGTTTCACATAGATCGGGCCAACGATCAAGACTCGTCGTTTTACTTTTAGCTCCTTCAGTTTTAGGTTAAAATCTATCATTTAGACCTTCAAAATTTTGTTTTTACCATTTTAAAAAACTTTTCAAAAATTAATAATAAAACTTAGGATATTTTGAATTCAGCGTCGTTGGTTTCATTAGACTACAGACGACACACATTTTTATGTTAATTAGGAAAATCATATATTTTTTATTTTTGGTATTTTTAGATATTTTGCTTCCGTTTTGAGAATGGTGAGAATTTTGACCATTCTTATTTATATTACTTCTTTGTACTACGAATTGATCATTAAGTAATATAACATTTCAGAGTTTTTCTCTACTTTTTCTTCGTGAATTCAAAGTGTTTCTTTTGGTGTATAAAAAAGAATTATAGTGTTATTTGTTCCGTTGCGTTGAAAAGCATTTTAAAAAAGTTTATCTTTCAATTCGTACTCACAAAACTTATTTGTCAATTCAATCTTTAAATCCTTTGCAACTAAATATACGCAAATAGCTCTTCAAACGAACTTCTCATCATTTTTCAAACGTTTTAAAGTAAAATTAGCGTATTAAAATCGATTTTTATATATTAAATTGTAGTTACTATTGCATTATACCTTTTCAAAAATTTGAAAATAATAACCTTTCTTCAGAGACTTGGCAAGAGAAATAAAAAAAAAAAAGGGTCTGTTGCTTTCTTTTAAAAAAAATAAAAAAATATCTTCTCTTCTTGTCTAATATATTCAAGTTTTAGGTGACCAATCAGAATACTTAAAATAACTGTTTAAATATCCCATAAAAAGGGACTTTATACTTAATTTGATTGGGCAGATGCATCTTTCAAATCCAGCCAAAAAAAAAAAAAACAATTAAGTGATCCTTTAGAGTTTAGAATCATCGAGTTATTATTTGAGACAGTAACCTCTCACATAAAGGTGTACTTGATTTTTTTGAAATATTAATTCGGATTTAGATTTCTTTTATTATCTATTTTTTAAAATTTTCTTCAATACAATGTTAGATACATGACGGGTGTAATATTTTAAATTTCAATAGATAAGATATTTTTTTATTCATTTTGTTGTTAGTGGAGTGTTTTCTTTACATCACTTTTACTGAAAATTGGAATGCAATTCAGATTTTATTCCAAGATTACACAATTTGGATTAATATTCCTATCCAACTCATGTAACACCACTTGGACTGAAATTCACATTTAATTCTAGTTTAATTAGAACCAGTGAATTTGTGATAAGTTTTTGGGCTGGATCCTGAAAACCCGTTCACTCGCTAAGTTTAATTCGAGTTGAAATTTATTTAATCAAACCCAGCCAGATGGTAGAAACCTTTGTTTAAGTACTCAATATTTTCAAATTGAATTGAGGCAAAATTTTGGTGTGACAGAAAATTTTATTCATTTTTGAAATTATTCTTGGCTAACTCCATACCTATGGGTGGTCCAGTGATTGAGATTTGTTTTTGTTAACCTAGAGATGCTAGATTTAATTCATTCTTATATCCTCTAAAGGCTAGTCACCCACCTTTATTCCTTAGGGACATGCTCTATCCCACGCTGAACTTAAAGGAGTAGTTGGTATAAACCTGAACATGCTGATCCTAAAGTGAAATATAATTGAGACACCGATTAGTGTAACCTTTACATTAGGTACAAATATTTTTCAATCAACTTACCACACAAGTGGTTCTGTTTGAGCTGTCCCAGGCTTGAAAAAGCTTTTGAGAAGATAGAGAGGACCACTCTTTTATTTATCTTGAAGCCACCATTTGTTGATCTTATTTATTGTTAAGGAAGCCAAAAAAATGAAGATTGTAGCGTAGCTACCAATACTTGCCCAAAAGGAAGAAGGCCAACTTGCTCTTGAATAGAGTTGGTCTGCTGAAAAGAAAATGAAGTAAGATTCGATCACGAATAATCTC